GCTGCAGATCCTAGAACAGAGGATGAGATATTTCAGAGACTAATTGAATGAAAAAGAGATTAAAGCAGGATAAGTGATTCTTTCAGTATTTTCTCTTCCGAGGATCACATTTGAAATCTTACTTTGATTGATTTACAATCGAGACAAAATCACCGACTGTACTCGATCTTCACACTCCCTCCCTACCTCCCTCCTCACCTCCTCACACAGCGCCTCCAGGTGCAGAGCCTCCAGTTTCTGGGTCATCTCTCTCCTCCTGTTGCGGAACCAGCCGTCAAAGTTGGGAGACTTGAGGAAATTCCTTCAGACGCAGAGGGAAAGGACGATGAGTCCACAAGATGCTCAGGGTGGTGATGTGCTTCTCTGCTATCAATTTGTAATACTCCTCTCTTATCCATTCATTTAAAGACTGCTTTTTTAAAACCTAGGTTTCAATAATAGGAAGTTTTCCTTCTGACCTACATTTGTATTCAAATATACTGCACATATTTCTATTCACAGAAATACATCATATTCTTATCGTATTTTATTTGTTGTGTATTTATAGTAAAGATTTTGGAAAGTTATTGCAATAGTTTTGCTCTCATTGCTCTTCTGTTACAATTTAAATTATTTGACTGTGTATATGTAAACCTGAGTGTGATGAACTTTAAAACAATACATGATAAAAAAAGAACTGTCTTTAATTGAAGGCTTTGTATGCGTGCACACCTGTAGAGTCCTATCCAGTCTCCTTTCAGCCTGGATGTGAGCTGAGGTCCAGCTTTCTCCAGCGTCTTCATGAAGTCCTGCGAGATGAACGCTCTCAGTTGAGGAGGACTCTTCCAGGGACTGATGGACTTCTGGAGCGGCATCAGACTCGCCACGTACCGCTCCTGAAACGCACAAATACACACTGTTAAATCATATTAAATCAGCACTATTTTCACAGGAAATGATGTGTCCATGGTATTGTGGTACATAACAATACTCATGGTAATGGAGAGTAAAATAATCAGGTACTGCAAAAGTCAAAAATCATATAAAAAAACACACACTGTAACATGCAAGTTCAATATGGTTGTTTTAAACCTATTTTTGACAAAGACAAAACGACGTCACTATCACACAATAACATTTGCACAAATGAGAAGATAGAATAAAAGGTATTGTTTGTTACCAGGGGAATGATGAAGCTTTGTGTCAGTTCTAAGAAGTAGCGTCGAAGAATTGCGTTTTGGGCCGCTGAGGGTCTCTTTTGTTGAACACCCTAAAAACAAAAAAACATAATGAATGAAATATGAGGCTGCTCTCCTGTAACTCCAGCACTACACAAGATAGAAAAACACTGAAAAGGCCCAAAAACTCATATTCAGTGTGAGGGATCTGGGTAGGAAAAAGGAGGATTACTTTGAACCACCAGATATTTTACCCTAAAAACTGAATATTGGCCAACAATAGATGTTAGTGTCCTTGTGTGTTACCTTCTGAAGCTGTTTGATGATGTCTTCATCTCTGTTAAGATATGGCTTATATGCAGTGTACACACCTGCAACACAAAGAGACTGACTGAACTCAACAGCTCCCTCTGGTGGACAGCTGCCTCATAAATGTGATTATTGTGAATGAGTTGCACACGGTTGAGTAGCTTCACATTCAAAGTGAAATACTTGTACTGAAAAACACACCAGACTGAGCCTATCAAGCATTTACCGGGTTTAGAGTCCAGAGTTTTGAGGTTCTTCAGTTTCTTGACTTTCATCTGCTTGGCCATCTCTCCTGAGGACCAGATGGAAAGATCAGACAGGTTGATACCCAACATCTGACGTACAGCTGTACAGTAATAAAACATCAGGTAGATATTTTCAAATCCTTCAGTGAAGTACGCCCTTTAAGAATACTACATTACGAGCAAATGTCCTGCATTCAAAATCTCACCAGAGAAAAAAAAAAATATAATATTGCCATCACCTAATTGTTATTATAATAATAATAATAATAGTTACATTTATCATAGCGCCTTTCAAGGGACCCAAGGCCGCTTTACATGTTGTGAACAAACAAACAAATGATATGATGTTTTTGGATTCATGTTTTCATCTTTGTGAGAATGCATTTCTAGCTGATCCAAGAGGCCTTTTTAAACACTTGATTTAGATTTAACTGTAGGATCAACTTTGTATACACTTTGAACACTTCCCCATTCAGTTTAAAAGGAACAATTCTTATATAAAACACCAGATTTGGTTGAAGGAATGGAGGAAGAATGAAAGTGCGTCAAGCCAAATGGAGTAAAAAAGGATAATAGATGTAGTGGAGAAGCATACCCACATGGAAAGGGGCTTCTACATTATAAATCTATCCTTTATGGGACTAAAGCACATGTGTCAAACTCAAGGCCCGGGGGCCAAATCAGGCCCTTGGTGGATTTCATTTCGGCCCGCAGGATCATTTCTAATTACTATTAGATCTGGCCCGCCGGTATATTGCACGCACACCTTCACTCCATCCTGAGGGTCTCCTCAGCTCAGAGCCTGAGCCCACACATTGATGAACTTGCACCCGAGATGAGATGCCAAGTATCTGCTTGAGCTAGCATCACAGAGCAGCAACCTGAGTTCAATGGATGTTTCCTTCTGCACTTTCTCTCACGACAACAGGGCATGTTTGGTTTTCTCTTTGAGGGAAATAGTTTTGTTGAAGCTGTTGTTGGCCTGTGGGAAAATGTACTCATAAGAAATGAGTGAGGAAAAGCTGCAGATAGAGCCATGAGAAATGAATGCACCTGATTATTTAATGTTTAATGTTGTTTTATAGGCAATCATTTAAGCTGTGTTGGTTCCAGGTTTAATATGTGCAATACGTTTTGCAATAAACATTGAACCAGTCCGGCCCTCGACTAGTAGCGATTTTTTTATTTTGGCCCACTGTGTATTTGAGTTTGACCCCCCTGGGCTAAAGGTTCTGTTGTAGCGGACTGCAATATATTTGAAGAAGCTCATGCCATTTCTCTTTTATTCATTAAAAGAGAAACACCACGTTTGACTGGCAGCAGATTCATCTACCTGCTTGCTTCATGTCTCCGATGCGGATGATGTGCGGCCAGTGCTGCAACGTTTTAGCAAAGAAGGGATTGGTCACTCCTAGAATGACTGACGGCCTGTAGAAACAGAGTGAAGATGTGAAATTCTTAACTTAGAAATAGACTAACACATATGTATGCACAAATACAGGAACAAGGAGACAGTTTAGTTCCTACAAACTTACATTTTTCAGGGGGTGAGACCAATTATGATTTTAGATCTTTAGAGAGTGTTAGTGTTTTCTGTAATTTAAAGTCCAATTTCTGACTGTTGACATATTTTAACAAAGTGACAAATGCTGGTTGATTGATCAGTAAAAATATATAAAGCTGATGATGAATGATCAGCTTTAAAGTCAATTTAAGGTAGGGTAGTTCAGCAGATGTCAGATGTAGACTGCTGTGCTCGGCTTTACTCACGGAGCCTGCGTCCTCGTGGTGTACTCTTTAAACTCGCTGTCGTGGATGGTGAAGTACGGCCGGAAGTCACTGCTATAACGCAGAGGAGAGATGCAGCTGCAGAGAGAGAGAGAGAGAGAGGGTTATATCTTCATTTTTTTTTTTTATAAATATGCAATTTACTTATGCTGCTACTTTCTACTATCTTTCTATACTTTCTTTCTCTACCTTGAAAATGTACTTTTGTAAAGTGTAATTGTGTCATTTTTTTTTTCGATTATATGCATACCTTTTATTTAATAGTGTTTTTATATTTCTGCGGTTACAATGTTTGTAGCCTTTATTTAACCAGGTGAAAGCGCCTTGAGATCAAAAGATCTCTTTTTCAAGGGTGACCTGCAGGACATTAGTTACACATGTAACATAAAAACAACAGAACAACAATGTACATTTTCTCTCAGTAGGACGAATAAAATAATTCTGATTCTGATATTAGATGTGTAGATTTGAGTCCTTTCACTCCAGTGCGACATGTTAACGCAGATTATGACAGATTCTCTCACCCCAGAGCAGAGTCCTGCACGGGTCTGATTTTCAAGACCCGCTCCCGCCCCGCGACGTGCAATACCGAACCCGCCCCGCTACCCGCACATATTGCCAATTAGTTCCGCAACCCGACCCGACCCGACCCGACCCGTCGGCACAAGATCCGCAACCCGACCCCGCATATATATGAGCAGTGAAAACGTGCAATTATTAAAACACGCAATTGCATATTTGTCTCAAAAAGCGTGGGATGTTGGTTATTTTCTCCATCTAGGATGACACCAAACAGTAGCGTGGCGTGGGGAAAAAATTAGGGGAAGCCAATAATACGTCCTTTCTTTTGGGTCGGGGGTGTGGTGGTCAATGTAATAACGTAACCAGATGAGTGATTACAGCACCCGGTATCATTTTACACACATTTGTATCAGATGCAGGACTTACACACGCCTGTTATCTAACCGACAGGTCCGCACGCACTCTCCAGCCGAAACTCTAATAAGCATTCATTCACAAACTAAATCAGGAGACCTTTAACGTTTTACGTCCGATTCGCTCCTTTTTTCCTCGCTGGACACAGCTCCAGTTTGGGCATTGGCCTGTCATCAGATTGTATTTGTTGTTGCTGCTGTAGCGGAAGTTTAGTACAATTATTTTTGATGAAATACTCCAAATCTCCACCCTCCATAATTGCACTTGCTTCAGTTGCTTGCTACTTTCTAACGACGGTGAGAGTGGTGCAGTGGCGCTATTCTTTCACACACAGTGACGTCACGAGCCACCCACAATGTAACGCGCGCCATATATATATATATATATATATATATATGCCATTTTTCTGGAGGTGCAAAAATCCTGGAGGTGCTAATATAAACAGCTAGCTAACGTAGCCAGGCAGAGCGCACTAGGTTTTTTTTCTGAATTAACGACCGAAGAAATCGCTGCATGTCTTCGGATTACATCTCTGGACTTGAGGGGTGTGCTCTAGATCGTTACCAGCGTAAACTAGAGCTGTGTGGGTTGTCCGATTGCCCTTACAGACTGCCTGCAGATGTATGGAAAAACGACTCTCGAAAGTGGCCTTCGATCGATTTTGGCAGCATCTACGTCTATCTTCTGGAAACACCAGGTGAATACCCCACTTGTCACAATAATATTATCATGCCAATGCATATATGTGGTATTTTAGAGTTGACTATATTGATTAAGGCAATAGACTATGATATTCTGCTTGCACCTCGCGTGAAATGGCGGATACCGGAAGTACGGTGTCGCCCTCGGCCCAAAACCCATATGTATGTGTGAAAGAATCTATCTTCTATCGATTAGATTTATGAATCGAAAATGATAAAAGTAGGGTAGACATGTGGATATTATCCGACTGAACAAAACTTGCATTTATCTAACAGGTTCGTTTTCCACTGACCTTATTTCGAGCTATTTTCCTAAATCCTATGGAGAAATCCCATTGCTTTTTTGTCGAGGGAAACCGAGCGCAGCTTACTTCCGGATTTTAGGACGCGTCACTGCAACACTAAGTTGATGCGATTTGATTGGATTGTGAGGCAAGGGAAGCCAGCCGCCTCTGGCTTCCCTTGGCATGGCCCTGACCAATCACAGGTTGGCAGGGGCATCACGTGAGCCTCATCTGATTGGTCAATCCCTCCATTTTTTTTCACCAAGGGAAGCCGGATTCGGCTGGCCTCCTCTCGCAACAGTGAGTGCAATCTACTGTTTCACCATAACATCTAGAGGGGCGCTGTTTGTTTCACTCTTTGTAAAACACTCAATGAGAATGGGGGAGAGACGGGCCGGCAGCAACACACAGCAAAGGAGAATTATCGAAACAAAACAAAGTGTTTTTATTTATTTATTTAAATTATAACTACAATCCGAAAAAACAGGGGAAGCCTGGCTTCCCTTGGCCTCCGGGAGAAAACGCCACTGGTACCAAAAGCCTCCCAGATGTTGGATTTCACTCGTGAGGAAGTGTTATTGAAAATGCTGTATATTCTCCGCGAGAGAGCTTCACCTCTATGGGATTAGTTTTGTATCATAAAGATAAAGCAACACTTTCTCAGAATAAAGCAAAACTGTGAGTTTAAAAGAAGAAAAAAACTGAGTCAAGCAAAATAAAATAAAATTCAAAAATAAAACTATAAGTTGCAAACAAATCATTTGTGTAATCATGCAAACTATAAGTATTTTTTCTTTGTTTTAACATAGGTTTTTGTTTGCAGTTCTCGTTTCTTCTTTCTCAATGATCAGACTTTTGCTCTCGCTGCAGCTCTTCTCGTTTGCGCTCCTTCACTTTTTGCTGAGCGTGGATACAGAACACCTCCAGAAGAACCAGCATTTCAATTATTATAATACTACAAGTGAAAATATATGTAAGTATTGATCATGTGTGTTGTTTGTGCTGTACTATACGGTCTGTTTCTTTATAAGAAGGAAAGCTGTGCTATGAAAGTTAGCTTTTGCTACCTTCAGATCCATAACCATGCAAGCTAAGTAGCCTAACAGTTAGCTACATAGCTAGCAGTGAGTGAGCGTTCAGACACCGGTGTCAGTACCATATGTGTTCGCCCTGTCACTACCCGATCTTTCCCCCTGCCTGATCTGTGAGAGATGGTCCGCCATATTGGACAACTCCGGACGGCAACCCAAGTAGGACACTTGACACAGTGGCTTTTAGCAAAGCTCAAAAATAAAACTCGAGAGAGATGAGTTATTGTTATTACAACGTGACTTCACTATTATTTAACAACTCTTTTTATTGGGTTCTTTTATTTGGGGTTATGTACATTGTCAGAATAAGTGAGAAATGAATTTAACTTCTGTTAGACAGCCATATGCCATACATTTTTGCATGTATTCACAGTAAATATTTATTCAGTATGATAGCTGTCTAACAGAAGTTAAATTCATTTCTCACTTATTCTGACAATGTACTTAACCCCAAATAAAAGAACCCAATAAAAAGAGTTTTTTAAATAATAGTGAAGTCACGTTGTAATAACAATAACTCATCTCTTTCGGGATTTATTTTTGAGCTTTGCTAACACAGTTTTTATCCATTGTGTATGAATGCTTCAGCTCTTCAGACCAACATAGTAAGATGTGAGCATGTTCCTAATTGTTTTGGTATGCAGCCTAGGTCTGGTCTGTTTAATAAAGCAATCTGCCACTTTTATGTTGTAGAATTTGTTAAATTAAAGCAGTCTTTAATTGTTTGTCCTAAACATAGCAATATATGCTTTTGAAATGTAACATGTCTTTGAAAAAAACAATAGTATACAGTTTATATTGTGCATCACCTTTAGCTTGAAAATACATAGATGTGTTTTTTTTAATCTATAAAATAAATAAATAGACAGACACTTTATCAATCCCAAATTGGGAAATTATTTAACAGCAGGTCACCCTAGAAAAAGAAGTCACCGTTGAAAAAGAGATCTCAAGGGGCTTTCACCTGGTTAAATAAAGGCTACAAACAAGCAAGCAGCAGTGTGTTCAGGTATTACAATATTTAAAGTTGGAATAAAGTATAAACTACACAACACAAGTATAATGTGTAATATATATATATATATATATATATAATATAATTTTTTCTTGATTTTATTTATTTTTGATTTTATTAAAAAATGTCACGCTTACCCTGTTGCTGCTTTGTACAACTGAATTTCCCCTCGGGGATTAATAAAGGTTCATCTTATCTTATTGCACAGCAATCCATAAGAGAAGTCCGATATGTTCATGAAACTCCCCAGGAGACACCAACACTAACGTGGCCGAGTGGACTCCGGAGTTTGCTGCATGAGTTGCACTGTATGATCTGTGGTGTAGTGGGCTGTCACTCAAAAACTGAGTAGCCAATGGGGACACACCCCTGAGAGTCCCGCCCACTTGGGATGTTTGTGTCAAAATCTCAAACAAAAAATGAGGGAGCGTAAACGAGAAGAGCTGCAGCGAGAGCAAGTCTGATCATTGAGAAAGAAGAAACAAGAACTGAAAACAAAAACCTATGTTAAAACAAAGAAAAAAGACTTATAGTTTACATGATTACACAAATGATTTGTTTGCAGCTTATAGTTTTATTTTTGAAATTTATTTTATTTTGCTTGACTCCGTTTTTTTTCTTTTAAACTCATAGTTTTGCTTTATTCTGAGAAAGTGTTGCTTTATCTTTATGATACAAAACTAATCCCATACCCCTCAGCCATTTCGAATGTGGCGCGCTCAGCAGCAGATTGATGCGCTGCAGAGGTTATGATTATGCGCGGTCTGAGGATTTAAATTAAATTATTATAATTTTAATATATTTATTATGCAACACCGGCGACCCGACCCGCATCATCTTTGTTTTACCCAGAACCGAACCCGGAAAAAAGGGTTTGAAAAAATACCACCTGCCCCAGAGTCACAAAAGTAAATATTATAGACCCTTTTTTTTTGACAAGCCACATATCTTACCAACATTTTGACAAATAATGACACCGCTCCATTTGTCTTGTTAGCAACACAACCCTTTAAAGAGAATGTTGGTAGGGGCAGAGACCCAGAAAACATATTCCATTGAATTCATTATAACCTCAAATGTGCTGTTAAATGCAGAGCATCATATCTGCTCGCACTATGACATGCCTGAAAACTCGGCTGACTCACCTGACCAATGCGAGCACGGTATCCGACGACTCTGCAGGCGACGGCGCCATGACAACAAGGGCCTCCCCCAGCAACACCAACTCCCACAGCATCTGTATGTGGAAGAAGACCGGGTAGAAACATCTGGAGAGAGAGAGATTTAGAGTGTGTTAAACAAAGCTTCCTTTTAGATTACTGCAGAATATAAGCTCTGAGGCAAACACACGTTCATGACACCTTATACACGTTTTGTAACTAACAGCTATAAACAATTACCACGGCCACATTCATCCATTTCTTAGCAATCACTGTCTTGTAGACACTAAGAAGCTTCAGAAACTCACCAGTGTGCTATTTACTGTAATATTTTATATTTCACTTTTTGCATTCCACTATTTCTGCATATATGTATCTATTTGTCTAATTAAATTCCAGGAGTGGGATTTTTTCTTTAGACTTACATTTTTTTAATGATGCTATCGTAAAATATTACAATAGAGATTTGCGATTCGATTTAAAAACCTCAATAGAAGCTTTGAATGTAAAACAATGACATTCACTGTGAAGGTAAACTTCTGTTGTTGCAATGTTGAGGTAGAATGAAGGAGTCTGGAACCGTTGTTAGCCAAAAGCACCGAAGAGTTTATTGATCACAGTACATTAATTACATACGGCCGGGGAGATCATCTAAGTTTCACACATGCCCAGTGCTCCACCAGCGATCTCTGAACCCAAAAGACACAAAACATCTAACCAACACGAGGAGAGGCGGGCTTCCAGAAAGCCCGCGTATAATCAATTAGCCGATGCAAGACAATGATCTGCTTGTCTCAAAGAGATGCTGCCAGGTCAACCCTCGGACATAGGAGACGCGTTTGACCTGTGACCTCTACCCACAGAGAAGTCTCTGACTGACTACAAGCAGATGTCTGCAGTATCACAGACTCTAAGGAACCATAAAAGACTCTATAAACAGATCAGATGAAAATATTCTCTTACATTCACTACAGGCTTAATCACAAGCATATGTATGGTTGATAAACAGAGTGACTCACCTGAAGAGGTCGACCTCATGGATGGTTGGGAGCACGATGGACACCTGACTGTCACTCTGAAAACACAGACACACTCTCTGTCAGTGGAAATAATCATGTGTTCAATTAATGTGTACACATTTCATGCTGAAAATAATACCCAACAAAATACATGTGTTGAACGTGTGTGTGTGTGTGTGTGTGTGTGTGTGTGTGTGTGTGTGTGTGTGTGTGTGATCGATCACCTGGGCGGACTGGACCAACTGGGATGTTCCTGGTTTGTCGTAAGAGGTCGGGATGCGAACCTGCGGCAAAACACAGATTCACAGTGTTAGTTTGAATAATTATCATCCATTTTAACTCATTCATATTAACAATATCGACTGCTTGTGGTTTATTTATTTTTTTAGTTGGACACTCAAAATATTTCTATTGTCATGTCAACAAGAATTACTGTGATGTAGTCGCCAAATCATTTTATAGAATATACAAATATATAAGAATATAAAATATTCCCAAAACAAAATATTTTTTGAATTTTCTAAAACGTAAAAATGTGTATCAACTACACCAGGGGTGCCCAACCAGTCGATCGCGATCGACCGGTCGATCGCGTTGAGATTCCCAGTCGATCGCGAGATGTGTCTAAAAATAGAACAACAACATTCTGTTGTATGTTAATGTCCTGAAACATAATCTTCCTGACCAGAATAATGCACTTGAACGCATCAAAGCTTTGTGATTGGCCGGCGTGACCCCATGTGTCGGGGCGTGGCTCGTGGGCATTGGGCAGTATTTCGCTGACGTTGTCCGTGTCAACAGGAGTGACAATCCGCACACACACAAGACCGCAATTATGGCAGAAGCAAAAAAGCCCAACATAGGCCTATATAATTTTCACTCCGAGTGGGAGGATGATTATTTTTGTATCTATTCCAATTCAAAGCCCATCTGTCTTATCTGCAATGCGAGCGTGGCTTTACCGAAGAAGGGTAATTTAGGAGCGGCATTTCAAAACAGTGCACAAACGCTACGAGACGGAATTCCCTCCTAATTCTGCCCTACGCTCCAAAAGGGGAGGGGCCTGAAAGGACAGCTAAATGCACAGCAGTCTATTTTCACCAGGCCCAACAACAAGAGCAAGGCTGCTACCAGAGCATCTTATCGGGTCAGTCACGTTCTTGCGAAACACATTAAGTCTTTCAAAGACGGCGAAGTTGTGAAAGAAGCTTTCCTGGAGGCTGCCCACGCGCTTTTGGGGGACAGTAAAAATAACAGTAGCATTTCAACAAGTTTTTGATATAATAAAAACTCAAGTTAGATACCGTTATTAATCAGCTGTACGTTTTAGTTTGTTTGAACTTATTCATTATAATTATTGTACACAATGGTATAAGAATGCAAACATTAAGATCTGTTCTGTTTAAATTGATTATAGTCTATTATCAATTCAGGTTAAGAAACTAGTGTTGCTTGCATCCTATTTTAAAGGCATTTCTTTTTATACTCTACTAAATGCAACAAAAAAAGGGTTTGATTCTATAAATGTTGTCTTTTTTTATTGCACTGTTGCAGCAGATTCCTGTGTAGCTTCAGATCTGAGTTGTCTTATTAGTAAGCCTAATTTATACTTTTGTAGCAACACTATTTTTATATAATGGCAAAGAAAGGGTTCAGAGTATTTTCTTTTTTCCCTGTGTCATATGTGGCAGCACTGTTCAATGTTTCTTGAAAACATTACCCACTGTAGTGACGTGTGAATAAACTCCAACTCTGTATCAACAACAATTGTGTAACTTCAGTTAAATACTAGTATGTGTGTAGATTAGAAAGAGGTAAGATAAAGGATCTGCAGTATTTTATGAAGTATTAATCGTACAAAGGTCAGTTTTATACAAGTAGAAGTGTGTATTTACCTGGTAGTAGGCTGTCAGTAATGGCTACGCCTCTCTATTTGGCCTGGTAGATCTCGGCAGACTGGCAACTTTAAAAGTAGCTCTCGGTTCAAAAAAGGTTGGGCACCCCTGAACTACACCATATAATAGTAAAGTCAAATAAATACAAATACAAATAATGCAGCAGCTAAAAACATATGAAAACAAGTTAATTAATCAATTATATACAAAAGATAAAAGAAGATACAAAACTAAAATGATGAAATAAATAAACACATGAGAAAAATAGTGCTGCAGCTTAAATATGTGAATATAATATAAAGTAAAACACAGAGTTGCAAAAGATAAAATGAAAAATAAAATAGTGTAACAGCTAACCTATGAAGGAAAAAATGAATAAAGTTGAAAAGATAAATAAAAACCCATCAGATGTGCAGGATTAAAGCTTCAGCAAGCCTCCAATGTCTCAATAAAACAATACACTTTTCCTATAAAGGACATGCTGACCTCCCAAACTCAGGTGTTACTCTCCATGAATAATAGCTGCTAATGGAAGGTGCTGCACCGCCTGCGCCTTACCTGCTGTGAGCAGTCACACGGGGTGTTTCTCAATGTCGAGGAAAGCTGCTCCAGAGCCACTATTTCAAGCATATTACGCCATCGAGTGCCGCCGAAGTACTGTTCCAATGTCCAGCATACTTGGAAATCTACCGAGCCCGGCGTATCTCGTTTGGAGAAATTTCGAGGCTGCACATGTGTAGACTCCGCGGTCTTAAAATCCCCACAATGCTTTGCGCACGGACCAATTTCCCCAAATCTGTGGCGGAAAATGTAAGGCGGGGCCTCTCATATGACGCACACCTGCACACTTGCTCGCCTGTTCCACTCTTCGTTTCTGAATGCCAGGAAGTATTCTTGCCTCGCTTCTGAAGCAAGTGACTCGGAAGACATGTGCTACCAAGCAAGCGTACTCGACATTGAGAAACACCCACTGACTCACCTCCACCTGTTGAGAGTGAGTGAGTGAGTGAGTGAGTGAGTGAGTGAGTGTGTGTGTACCTTGATGACCACGCCCATAATCGGAAGTGTGAGTATTCTTCCAGGATGGGGTGTTGGCCAGCGGTCCATGTCGTTACAAGCTGTCAATCAATACACAAACAACAGCCATCTGAATCAGAATACACTTGAAACATTAATCTGCTTTACTAAAAGTAAAACAAGGTTAATATACTCTCAGTTTATTAGGTACACTTAGCTTAAAGTAATGCATTTTAGATTTAGTTAAAAGCCTTTTAAAAAATAGTTTAGTGAGTTTTCTGCATCACTTCTTAAGAGTTTAGTTACAAAGAAAGTTGCATGGAGAAAAATGAGATGATGTTTAATTGTGCTTGCTGCTTTGAAACCTGATTTTCCCTTTTAGGGATTATTAAAATATTGAGTTTATCTTGTTTAAAACATTAAGGCGGAGACAGACAAGCAGACTGACCAGCCTCCAGACAAGGTTCCTGTTTCTCAAAGTATTCTGGAGCCATGATCTTCAGCAGCGAGTGGAAGAAGGTGACGTAGGGCAGCTTACTGATCAGGACCAGAGACTGGAGGAGGGGAAAACAACACGTATGTCATGAAATGGATATAGTAGGTAACGAGAACATTCTATATGGTACTATAACCATCTTATTTTTAACAACAGAATCTTTAACTGTGAAGCATGCTAGTTTACTTGTAAGCAGCACTTTAGGATGTTGAATTAACGACTTAATGAACGATTACATCAGCTGGGAGCTTCTAAAAACATGTCATTTGGTTTTTAACAGTTTCCTTTCACTTTTCTCCTTCACACACTCATTTATGTCAGGTATTTTCTTAAACCCTAGAACTTCAATATAGAGGGGAAGATAGGCAAACCAAATGTGCACCTTATGACTAAAGCAAACATATTTTCAGGTGTGTAGGCAATTTGTATCTGGCCTCTGGTGATCTTGACCACATCATTTCATTGTTCAAGTGAATTCCCTATTTCTAGACTGCACTCAACTGTTAATTGGATTGTAGCGTCTTTTAACATATTGGCGCTCACCTTCTGGAAGTATCCTCTCTTCAGGGATTTGTCTCGCACCTGACGGAAGTACACGTAACCATAGTAATGGCCCTGCTCCCTCTGCAACACAGATACACACACAGAATGAGTGTGACATCACTAAACCAGAGGATTCAGGTGTATGCATAGCTGCATGTTTCCTGTGTGTCCAACCTTCAGACAGGGCGGTGCGTCCCGGTCGGTGGTTTCAAGGAAGACGCCAAGCGATGACTTCCTGTTGGAACCCTGACGAAATCGGAAGCAAAACTGGGTGTCGCCAAGGCAACCTGTGCACACAGGAGAGTGAACTGGTTACCATGGGATCAAACTGCCCGGATTAGAGTAGGATAAGAAACTTATTAGCATTTAAATATTTTACATACAATGTATTTTAATATCTCTACATGTTATTCATTTAAGCATGCATAGGCCATTAAAGTCATTCAGGTTAAACAAAATATATTATTTATTGGTCTTCTTTATTTTCTTTTAAAAATCTATTTTTGATTCAGGATTACGTTATATTTGTGCATTTGCCAACAAGATGCGGAGAATATTAACAAAAAGTTAGATACTTATGAACTTTGTATTGAGAGTTAGAATTAGTTACATGTCGGCATCAACATAAATTATATACTTAGTAATTGAAAACAAACTTTGGGGAACATTAACATTAATTACATTTTCTATGGTAAACATTCTATATTTGTCTTCCTTTATCTTGTGTTAAATCAGTTCCATTTCTCAAGACTACCGATTTATTTTATATTCAATCTCTATTTCCTGTTGAAAGGAAGAAATAATTCACTTTGAAAGCCGATGTATTATATATAGTCAACCTTTTATTATTATTGCATTGTTTCCAGAGTTGATATAAATGTATTTTTCTGTGATATTAAATGTGCACCAGTCAGTTCGTATCAGTGTCCTTCTGGTTTCTTCCTAATATTTGGAAAAACAGTTAGAGGGAGGTGGAAAGAAAGAGGAAATAGGAAGTGCCCAATGAGTCATTGAGCAGCCTTTAACCCCCACATGACCTTCGCACATCCTCCAGCAGACACAGCAGAAGAGATACAGAGAGAAAATATGAGTTTAAAATAACAAGACATGCACAAACACACTTCAGCCCACACTTTAAAGCATTCCACTACACACACACACTCACACACTTCCTAGAGCTCAGAAAAGACTCCATGACATCATCAGGTTGCATTTGAGACCACCCAGGATGAAACAAGCCACTGAACCACTGCTCCATTCAGACTGCATTTTCTCCAGCGACTGTAAATGCTCTTGCTTGTATGTATGCGTTTTTGTCAGAGTGTGTGTAACCCTGTAACCCTTCCAGCACTGTCCACTGTGACGACGCAGTGAAGAGAAGAAACATATTCTTTATCAACACAGTAGGAAAAGCCTATAGGTCAAAAATAATTCTGGCCTTTCCTTTTCATAAATCACAATATGTCCAATTGGTTAATAAAGTGGCTATAAAGCACTATTTATAATCTAACAATATAAATGATCATGAATTTTATATTCACAAGTACTTTTGGTATTGTTCTATATATTGATTTTCAGTGTATCGTCATATAACAGTGTAAAGCAGCAAGGGTATCTCAATTGAAGTGCTGGAAACATAAATGTTTTGCATGGTTCCAAGTGATTATCAACATTTTCACAAAGTCATTTCCAGTTGTATCAATATGTCATTACAACCTTATGTATATGTGAATGCAGGGGCGGATCTACCGGGGTGGCATGGGGTGGCAACTGCCATCCTAAACAATAGCCTTGCCACCCCAGCTGCCACCCCAGTTGGCATCTTTGTTTTGAAAGAAAAGTTGTGGCTCATCTCATTTATGAGAGAAAGTCTCTAATGTCCGAGTGCAAGTGAATGCAGCACAAGACGCGAGTCTTGTAACCCCTCCCCCGGCCCTGGCGCGAGAGTGGAAATATGATTGGTGGCGAATTCACTTGACGGCGCAAAACGAGAAGCCTTTCGGACTCAAGTAGACGGAAGCAATGAGGTATTTGCGGTCTACAATGACAGAGAAGAGACTCTGAAGTTTGGCTGTACTCAGCATTGAATCAAAACGCACTAAAGCTGTTGATCTTAATAAGTTTGTGAGGCGTTTTACTGAACAAAATAGTAATCGCCGCATTCAGCTGTAATAGACATGCCAACTTGATGCTCTGCTCACGGATGACTCGATGAGAATAACAAACTGTTAAGATGATGACCTTGTATGCGTGTATATATTTTTTTCTTTGAGGGGGTCTGCCCCCAAAAAACAGTTTTAAGTCCTGAGAAAGTAAAATAAGACGGTGTGTAAAACTACACTGCCCAGACAAAAAAAAGTAACCACTTTGATTTAACTAGGCCAGTAGGTAAGGGCTTTCCACTGGACAATAACTTACTGCAGCAATGTATATGTTTTAGCTGAATAGACGTTTTTTAACCCTAACTGATGCAGTTAGTCACTTCTTTAATGTTTGTTCTTTCTGATGTAAAGTCAAGGTTGTAACTGTATATCAATAATGATATAATTACTTGTTTTTCAAATTTGAAGGAGGGTGAGCAAGCATCTTGATGAACATTCATCATTAACTCCTCCAAAAAATATAGTTTATTCAATAATAAATGAATATGTGAATCATAACAGTTCTTCACTATATCTGTAAAGCGTCTTTGAGCACCTGTAAAAACGCTAACAAATTAAATCTATTATTACTATTATTTATTAACAGTGATTGACAGCTGATAGGAATAATATGATTGTTAATAGTATCATATTCATTCAGACAAACATCGATGAGACAGTTAATTAATATACTTATTGCAGCAGTCTGCATAGATTTGGTAGCCCTGCTGGTCTAAGAGTGAAACCAACTCATTCAGTTAAAATTCATTAAATTACGTCTGCCACCTTATATATGCATATGTAAGGCTTTACTGATGTGCCACAATAATATCACCTATGTGATTGAGTTAAAATATTAATATTGTGGCTTTCCAAGTTAATATTGATTGTAGGGGTGTAACGGTTCACAAACATTTCGGTTCGGTACGTACCTCGGTTTTTATGTCACGGTTCGGTTCGGTACGTTTTCGGTACAGCAGAAAAAATTATCACAAAACATTAAATATATTTTTTTTTTAATTATTATTAAACTGTGAGTAATGTATTCAAATAAATACAAAATATAATAAAATAAACATTAAGGTGCAGCATTTCGATGAACTGAAATAATCTGTATTTGAACTGTACTAGTCCCTAAGCAGCCAGCTTGACATTAGGACTTGCTTGTCATTGTATTTTGATGTTGTTTAAAGAAAAATTAACTTGTCCACATTGCTTGCCGAAAGGGCAGATCTGCTGGCACTAACAATGTCTCCTGCTGTGGAGAACACCCTCTCTAGGGACAGAGGTAGCAGATACAGCCAGGTAGCGCTTTGCTAACATGGCAACATAAGGATATTTGGCGTTTGTAATAGCTTTGGCTCGGTCTGAACTCTCTGCGAGTGGTGGAGGCTTACATGCTAGCGGGAGTTGGGTTTGCACTTCAGGCTTTTTTCTTTTGGTACCGGTGATATTCACATTCGGTTGATGCCTTTTCAAATGAGTGTGCAAGTTTGATGTATTGCCAGCCGCGTAACCAATTTTAGTTGAACAATACCGACAAACAGCTTTGGTTCGGTCCACCTGTCTTTGTCCGTCATCCTTGTACGTAACTGCGAAACCAAAATGTTCCCAAACCGGAGCCTTCAATGATGCTGGAGGATTTTTGAGCTCAACTTTATCTGCGTTCGCCATTTCGACAGTTCCTCAAATTACTGACTACATTTGAACGCATCCCTGTGACCAGCTCTCATAGTATGCCTCTCGTCCAATGAAATGACTTGCTCGCTCTATGATATATACCTGAGATTACTTCCAGAAAGTTGTTCATGTTCTCAATTTTTTACGTTTAACACTATATTCGTTCGGTACACACGTGTACCAAACCGAAGGGCACGTACCGAATAATTTCGGTACGTGTACCGTTACACCCCTAATTGATTGATATGATTGCGATTTAAATCAGCATATACTTCTGTCAGGGGATAACACCCCACAAAATCTCCTGCCACCCCATGAATATTTGTCTAGATCCGCCCCTGTGTGAATGTAAACACCCAAAGAGTAGAGCCGTTGTATAGTCTGCTGTTTTGCCACCTCTTCTTTCTGAATACTCTGAATGTTGCATCTTCTCCCGACAGTGACAACAGTCAAGTGGACTGAACACAAATGATGGCAGCTCTGATGAAGTAAGACACTGAGAGAAAAAAAAAAGTCTCTCTCTCTAACACACACCATCCCAAAGAGAGTTTGTGTGTAAACTAATCCCTCAACAACTTTTTCTCCAGTCTAGTGTTACACTCATGACAATTTTCAAAGTGGCCTCTGACTAGCTGACACCTCAAACATCATCAATTTCAACATATATTCTTTCACGTTCTCATTTGGACTGTCATTTTTAATGTTGTTTTTTCCGTAACACCACATCTGTTGCGGCTTCTTCCCATTTGTCCCGCTTAATTGTGGGGTTTCTTTGGGAGATTACCTTGTGGGCTGCCAGGTTTAGGGACAGAGGGTGTCCCATCCCGTACAGTCTGTACAGCCCTCGAAAACATATTTGTTATTTTGGCCTGTATAAATCAAAGGTAATTTGATTGTTCAAAATAATTTAAATGAAAAGGTGACTGCTGAAGCCAGAGCTCCTAGGTTTTGTGCCAGAGACAAGACGATCTCATCCAGAATCACATTTGCAAGATTAGAAATGATTAGCCCTGCTGCATAATCTTGGTCAACAGTATGTTGTATGGTTCGCTCCATCTGTTTGGAAAGGTTAAAGGTCACCAGCCTGACAACCTGAAACCACCTTGATGTTCTTTTAGGTGGGCGTTTCATCATTTCTGTAACTTTATGAAAACTAACAAAGAAGTGCGGACACTGAAAAAGTAACCAGCGTTTAATATTCCCTCTCAAGCTTTATAAGAAATACAACACTATGCATTTCTTAAAAAGGGGGACTTACTGTACATTTCGGCCTTTATTCCAATACTTAAAAGATGAGTTGAATATTTTTCTGTCTTATGTCGACATAAGAGTGTGTCTATTCCCAGGAACGTACATACCCATTCTTTAATCTGGCACGTCACCATAAAGTTAAGGCAAAGTCTCCACAGTGAGCTGATTGTACTGCTGAGTACAGAGACACAAGTTTAAAAGGCTGAAGCAGGAACTCACCTGAGTTGGAGTCAGGAAAGGAAAGGTAGCAGATGCTTGTTTTCTGAAAAATACATATTTCGTTAGTTTAAATTATTTTAATAAATTCATCTCGGGTTGATTCAGGGACACAGAAAGTAAACAGTAAGAGAACAATGATGATCGGTATGAACAAATATATTACAAACAAAGAAACTTCTGGTATTAAGTGTTCATTGCTTATCAATCTGCCTCACCTCTTTCTCTGACAGTTTGGAGTGATGAGGATAGATAACCTGAAAGACAGATTATCAAAGTTAACAACCCACATCTAAAAACAGTGTTCAACTTTGCTAAACAAAACAACTGCACATTCTCATTACAGGTTTAAAAACTAGGACATCTTTTTTATTTATTTTTTTATTGTATTTAAAAATGTCACCAGGTAATTGACTTTCTGTTACTTCCATTGTGTTGTGCTTGATTTGTCACCATACTATAATACACATGTTGCCTTCTACAGTGTAACATTTTTAAAGGGGATGTCAATTGTTTAATAAATGAATTATAAGTGATTAATGCACCTTACATTTCAGAATAACATAAATATCTAGATGACGTGATATTTACAGCATTATGACTGAAATGTGTCTAAAGCACAGAATATGGAATATGTGAAGTAATAAAAGTCTAAATGTTAGGTCAAAGGAGTACTTTTGTTGACTCCCTCTGGGTAACTTGATTATTCTATCGTGAGAAAAATAAACAGCATTAGTGTGTTACCTGAATACGTTTTGGTTTTTTTACACAAAAACTAGAACCCTGAGCCTCTGGAAACTTGAGCTTGGAATTATTTTTTCATAATTTACTGACATTATAGAATACATTCTTTATTTACACTCTATGCCAAGACCACAACTACACAATATTTAGTCAATAAAAAAAAGTTGTGGAGTATTTATGTTACTAGTTACACAAGAGAAAGTGAAACAGAAAGACTTGCAGGAGCCTGAAACCAGGTCACTGTCTAACCTTGTTAACACATGCAGTATTTTGTATTTCTTCTGCATCCCAAACACCTGTGACGACAACGGGTGTTTGGTGTGTTGAATGTAAACCCTTCATTACAGAGATGCGTTGCTCAACTCCCCGAAATTAAGCTGTGAATACGTTTAAAGTGAGTGAAAAGAGAGGAAGAGTTTCAGCAACATGCTCACGGTGAGATAGTGGCAGAGCTGATGTTGTTGGAGTAGAGTCAGTAGACTGACTCCTGAGAAGATAGCACTCGCAATTCCAATTGGCTACGAGAAACTATATCAGTTAACAAACTTGGTATCCTGCAGTGAAGCTACTATTCTACATCTGTGTGTGCATGTCAGCAGTGTTAGAGCTAAAAAGGACAACACAGAGAACTAAACAAACAGCTTCATGTAGATATCTTCGTGTGGCAATCCAGTGAATAGTCAAGGCCTTAAATAACTGCTAACTTGAGTATTTTTTTTAGCAACACCACTATTAGGAGTTTTACGTGACGCGAATAATTTGTGGCTCACCTCCACTGCCTGTCCCAGCTCCAGGTCGAAGCCAACAACGCAAATGCAGTGTAGCCAGGCGGAGAAGCGGTCCCAGGGAAGCAGGAGAGCCTCCTCCGGCTCGTCGTCGCCCCCAGGCCCGCCGGGCATGGTTATCTCCTCGGCCGGGGAGATGCTACTAGCGTCCTGGTCGTCCAGATCCTCCGGCTCTTCGACCTGCTCCCCCAGCTCCTCTGGGCCTTGTAGAGCCATGACTACGGCCCTACACGGACACTCAGACGCTCCGGAGAATATGAACGCCTTAGATAAGTTAGTTAAGATTGGTATGTTTAGTTAGTGTCTCCTCAGGTGACAACAACAAGCAGAGCTACAGAAAGTAGCTTCTCAGCTAGCGCTTAGCATAGTAGCAAGAGCGTACGTAGGACGTAAGAATGAAACGTGAAACGTCATCACGTAAAGCCGTCCCTGGCACTGTGTTGTATTCAAGTCAACCGCAGACGGTGGAATATTGTATTCACCCCTTTCATATTATAATACACATAACAAAATTGTGCATATTAATCCCACAAATATATTCATCACAAAACGTGTGGTTTTCGATAAAGTTTGAAAATGTGTAAAAAAAATAAGAACAGCAGGTAAACTTCAATGTAATTAATGTCATTAAACGTTAAGTATGATGGACTATTTATTATGACCAATGATTGACCAATGAACAATGATTAAAAGTACTGCACAAGTCAATTGTGGTTCTCACTTACCTTGTGTTCATGTTTAACTATCATATGTTATTTACAACCAATCTGATGCATGTGAATTGTTCGCATCTTTAACAATGATTGTGAATCACGTAATCAAATTAATTACTTTACAGTCCAAATCTTAGTCCAAGTCAGGAAAAAAGCAGTAAAGCAGCTTTTTTCTAAATCCTTTAATATCTCTATCACTGAACAAACAGATTAAACAGAGAGTGGATGCTCTAAGGAGGGAGGGGAGACCCCCTGTTAACCCTACACTTGTGACATAAATCCACTTTTTAAGTAAGGGGATTGAAAGATTTAGAGATAATCTATTGCCATTATGCAACACAGGGCTGTAGTTTACAAAGAAATGCAGTTGTAGCTTGTCTGGGGGAGTTCATATATAAAAAAACATAGAAACATTCATAAATGTCACAATTATTTTCTAAATTAGTTATACTGTTTTACAGTATACCTTTAGTAATAATTATACCAACTTGTATTTAACTAGTTATGTATATTATTCTGTATGGTTCTGAAGCTTTTTTGGTTTTTATACCCCGATCCAATTAAAACAATTTAATTCATTGTTGAAATCACAATAAACTATACAGTATATATTAATAGATTCATACAATTCAACAATACATTTGTTTATATATATATGAAAAAAAACACTTCTTACTTTTCACTTTGTGTTACAAAGTGCTTCATATGAAGCTGAAGTAGAATAGCAAACAGAACTACATTATAAACTACTGCCTTTATAACAAATGTTTTCAAATAGTTTTGAATGGATTACATTTTTTTGTGATGCGCTTTTCACTAAACTCTTGTCAAACGATGTGATGTCGGCGGGGCAGCTAAACACAGTAAGATGCTGTTAAATCTAAAATAATAGTCAAAGTGTTAGCACAGTGACAGCTGGCCCCCTGCTCGCTCTGCAGGAGGGCCTGGCTGCAAGGATTCGGACCAGGATCAATACCAGGACCAGTAGCCTACTAAAATCTGGACCAGGAGCAACATTTTCTATTTAAGGATTAAACAATCAAGATATAAGGTGATAGTTAGCTTGAGAGGTGCTGGGAGTTTTTTGTATTTTATAAAATGTGTATCTAATGGAAATCAATTAACTGTGCACTTAAAAAGTATTTTTTTAAAGGTTTGCATTTTTATTTTGCTTCGTCCTTTTTTTTGTCTTTTACAGTTTTTGCTTATATATTCACAAAATATGAAATAGGAATAATAAAAAAGGTCTATGCTAAATTATAAAAAAACATATAATCCTATTTCCCAAAATATTATATTTCCTTTGAATTTTCACAAATTGAGAAAGAATAGTAAGTTTGATCACAACTTATGTTAATATGACTATTACATTCATTTTAAGGCAATAATTACCTGCATGAATTTTGCAGAAAAGTGTATGTTAACATGAATGAGAGAAGCAAAAATTAAGACATTTCAGATAATTCCAGTCTCTGCCTCTCTGCCAAGATTGTGAAACCAAATTGTCAAATTAACTACATTTTGTGAAAAACATGAACAAATTCTGAGCAAAATTGAACTGCCAGAATAATTTTGTATTCCTTCCTGACTAACTTGAAAGACTGCACCAACAGTTAGGCTAACTGAAACCATAATGATTTGGTTTTCATCATCAAATAATCTCAATTATATTCTTATTACACCAGATAATTGTAAAGAGGAAAGTCTCTCTTGCATGAGAACATCAAGTTATGTACTTTGTTTAATCTGTGCCAAAATTGGTGGAAAACTTGTTGCACAAAACTTAAACCGTAACAATTAAATGTGAATGTTTTATCTGACTGAATTAAATAAATGAGCAGTTACGCAGTTGCCTTGTGGTGTTTATCCTCCCATACTTCTCTCCCTACTGTCTCATGCAGCATTGATTTGGTCTCAGCTGTCGGTTCACCAGAACACAGCAGGGACTTTTCTTTAGCCATAAGCAGAATTTGATCCCCTCACACGTCACCCCACCCCACCCTTCTGTCCCAGGCTGTAAATCAAGTCACCTGGATAAAAACCTCACAATAGTGGGAGTGGAAAAAGTTGGTCTTCTCAATACTGGAAAGCTGCAGTTTTGTGTTTAAATGTTAAAACCAAACTAGAAAAAGTACCGTAACAAAGCAATCGATACAGTTTTTAAAGTTACCCTCCCTGAGTATCTTGAAATAAGTGGAAGCCTAAATCACTATGCCTATTGCCTACTTTGAAACACAGTTGTTATAGATATCCCAGATCAGCAGAACAGGAAAACTGCTTTTAATTTAGTTACGTAAGTTAACTTTCCAAATATCCTGGTAATTGAAATTATGATTTTTTTTGTTGCAAAAATAGCCTTCGATAGCGTTCATAGTTTGTTTAGCCAAATTAACTTTTATTTTATGTAAAATCAAGACTATGGGATCTCAAACATATTACTGATTCAATTATGAAGTTATTTGTTTAACTAATATTTCCATATTAGTTAAACAAATGATTTGGGGTGTTGCAGGCACTGTAAAATGCAAATCCCACTGTTCAAGTGGCATACAAGATTACAACTTTTTAAAACTCACTATAACAAAAAAAGAAAATCATAAATACATAGCCCCGACACTCAATGGCTTAAGATGAATGGATTCAATTAATTAAAAAAATATACAATTTGGTTGACAAGAACGTGATTTAATCAGAATCAGGTTTAAACGAGGAATTTGTGTATAATTGTGCATACATAATTACATTTAAAAAAAGCATATTTTGAACAAATATAAAACTATTAAAAAAAAAATAACATGAAATGTTCACAATAAATCTGAATATACAGAAAAGTCAGTAAAATCAAGTCTATAAACTATTTTCCATTACAACAAAATAAAAAATACATATACAGTATGTTGAACTTTGAAGCCATTTGTAAAAAACAATAAGAGGAAGAAAAAAAATTATTTGATATCTTATACTTATATAATGAATCGGTATACTTTTCACGGGCCCCCTGGCAGAGGGCCAGAGACCCCTGGAGGTCCCCGGACCCAACGTTGAGGGTCCCTGATTAATGAGCTCAGCGGTCGGAGAGTGGAGTTGATGTGACTCGGGCCGTGAACGCACCCCGCCTGCCTGCTCTCTAGTTACAGTATGGCGGCTGGGACTTGTGGAGGAGGACAACTTCTTCTAGATTCCTTCCCGAAAACAGTGGGAAGGCAACGACTTTAACTTAACAAATATATTGGAAAACACGGACGACGACGGCGCAACTTGTGGCTTTAACGGAGTTTTTTCCTGGATGATAATCGGGCTGGTGTGTGATGCGTGAGGAGGACCCGCAGTCAAGAAACTCCCCTGATTTTTCCGCGTCTGACTGTCAGTTAGCCGGCTAGCTGCTCAGTTAGCTCACCACCTTAATGCTAACGTTCGCTTGCAGGGCTCCGTAGTAGCCAAAAGACGGGCTAGCTTGCTGCTTATATTTGCTCCAGGAGACAGGGATGGCATTTCGCCTCCATCCGGTAAGCGAACTGATTGAGTCTGGTGGGGGAAACACATTTGAAGACCTGGTTGATAAAGTTTGTCAGCACTCATTAGCCTAGCCTAGCCTATCCTAGCTTGTTGGTACAACGCCAGAAAACGTTGGCCGAGTGAGCGATTTGCCTGTCCACTAGCGAGCTAGCCAATTAGCATTTTAGTTGCACAAGAAGACCTGCTAATCCCCCGCTCATCCCGGCTGAGTGTTTTGAAGCCTCTTGCACTTACCAAATTAGACTAGAAGTGGACACTGGGCTGATTTAGTTGGCCAAATTGCCGTTAATGTTGAAAAACTCAGGGGTGTTTTTGGCGTTTACTCTTGCTAGGTGTTGTTAGCGACCTTATAGGTGTTCTGTGGAGGGAGTGGTAACGTTAGGTAGCTAGCTAAGGTTCCCTGTATCAGGGCAACAATGTCACTCTGATTACGGCTGTAAATGACGAATAGATTTAACATGACAAATTACTAAATGTGTGTAAACCGACTGCACATTGGAGTGTGTGCCCGTTGTTAGCTTGCTGCAAGACAACACATAGAAAGTGCAATATAATATTAACCGTTCCCAAAATATGCTAGACATATAGCTTCCTGGATTGATAACTAATTCATTTTGTAGTCACGGTTACTAGTGTGAACTGTTGCTATATTGGGGGGGGCTAAACACCAATCCCTCGCCTGGTTCAGTGCTGGAATAGTTTGATGGACGTGGGAGGCTGTTTTCCAGGCTGTCAGTGCTATACTCAGTCATGTATGTCGTGACACATGGCACCTTGGTCTGTACATAGTGCTGTCAGATATATAAGTATCGTTATGTAGCTTTGGTGGACAGTCAGTAAGAGGAATGTCTTGTCTTTTTTATACCTGTTGGTTTGTTTTTTATTTTCATTTGTTTCAAACACAGGGGAGTCTTGTTGAATCGAAGAGGGAAGGCAGTGCAGCCCGGGCTGTGCACAGTGGACAATGTTTATTAGTTAGTGCCTAGGAACTTAGAGGACTAACAGTTCGGCCTACATATAGGCCACAGATATTGTACATTTATCCATTGGGGATTGCAACAGAAGACTGCCAATCTGGATCAAGAAAACCTGTCCCTCGTGTCTGGTTGGAGTAACACTCTAAAGCCAAAGTCAATGCCTTCAGCGTTGGCTGTGTTCGCCTGCCGACCAAACTCACATCCATTCCAGGAGCGGCATGTGTACCTGGATGAGCCAGTCAAGATCGGCAGGTCTGTGGCTCGGTGTCGGCCGGCCCAGAACAACGCCACCTTCGACTGCAAGGTGCTGTCCAGAAATCATGCCCTGGTTTGGTTCGACCACAAGACCGGCAAGGTAAGAGAAGATACTTATGCCTAAGCTGAAATTGCCTTACTGTGTTTTCACAACAGGAGTGTGAGGAGTGACTACCCTTTCGATTTCCAGAGCGATTTGGTGTACTTCTTCACTAGGGCTGCACGATTTTGGGCAAAAATCTAATTGTGATTTTTCTGACAAATATTGCGATTTCGATTTGCGATATTTGTTTTTAAGCGACCCAATGGAAGTTTATTGTAAAATGTGGCCATATCTCTGGCTAGGAAGGTCGCATCAACATGCTCCCGTATCTAGCACCCCCGCAGCCCGAGCTACGAGTGAAAAAACTAAACTTACATGAAACTTCCGTTGGGTTGCTTTAAAGTCAAGCTTCAGTTTAAGATTCACCCTGTAATAGAAACATGTGATGGAGCATTACTAACCTGACTCAGATGGTTTGTTTCACCAAACCATCTAAAGCTCCATTGGAAGCCATTTGGAAAGGGCAGGCACTTTAAAAAATACTTGGCAGGTGATTGGATCAATCTGTCTATCACCTTCTATCATGGGCCACTTCTGATTGGTCAAATCGCGATTTCGATTTAAAATCGGTTAATCGTTCAGCCCTAATCTTCACACACTGATGAAAAGTAACTATTTACTTGTTCACACATTATCCAAAATCTCCAGCAGGCGAGTCTTGACAATAGCCTCAAGGACCATATCTCATCAAAAAGCCCCCTTAAAATGATTTTCAGCCAAGTTTAAAGGGTCATCAGTACTGCCACAAACGCACATGTACTCTTTGACATGATAACACCCTGAAGCAAGACCTTCTCCCGACTGTGAACTCTGCTCTGGCCTGAACAGATTCAGTTTCTTCAAGGGTTATTCACATCAAGCATGTTTGGAGGGAAAACTTAAACTCTGGAGTGTTTCGGCCTCTAAAATGTATCCAACTCTATACTGAACTGGAGGGTCATGTTTAATCCCAATTGAGGACAGGAAATGTTCCCAAAACTCAAGGGATTAAGAGTTAGAAGAAACAAACAGATTCTGTTCCTCAAGCAAGGAAAGCAGGAAAAAAGCAAAACAAAATGAAGTCTGGATCGATACTGGAATTATGTTCCACCCTTCAAAGATACCTATCCTACTTGAAGAAAGTCCTTAAAAACCTGGCCTGTGAGCTCATACCGATATGAGCTAGTCTAAAACACATATTTGTTGTTTGTTCGGGACATTTTCTTTACTGATTTTAGACACAGACATAAAGCAATTAGTATGTTGGACATTTAGCCCCCATTTGTTTAAAATACAGGTTCATATTTAATTTTGTGCCCTGATTTTTTTAATAACCTACATTCTTAATCAACCACAATTTATTTCACAATAAATTCAAAATAAATAAAATTGACCTTTTTGGGAATTGCAAAATCTTAAACCCACCTTGCTGCTCATCACTGTTGTGATCAAGAAACTAGAGACAACACCATCTAATGTATTAAAGCAGCAAATCAGTTTTTCAAAGCATACACTGGTAATCTGAGGCATTTGTGTGACTGTATACAATAATTTCTCTTTTCAAATGGTTATTTTCATACTTTTTTATGAATATGACTGAATAGATAGAGCATTGTTAAAAAAAAATTGAAAACGGCTACATAGCTTATTTTTCCACACAGACATTAAATTGTGTCCTGATTGCAGATATCCATAGAAGAATGTCCTTAGTTCAGTCCTGGACTAGATTTAATCCTTGTCTGGGAAAGCAAAATATAATTTCTTTATAAATCCACAGATATCAGATCTGACGCAGACAGATCAGAGGCCTGTACTACGAAGCCAGTTCAACAGACCCTGGATATGTTTGAGTTAACTGGCTTAACTAACCCAAAACAAACGAGATCTCACTAAACGGCCCTACCATGCTGGTTATCAACTCGGTAACTCAACCCAGGGTTTCTCTGTCCGGCTGAGAGCGCGTTCACATGAAAGGGGCGGGGTTAGCAACATTTGACCAATCACAAACATGGACAAGCGTACTGACAGCGCAGCGTCATACTTCCTGAATGAAAAGTAAACTATAATATTAGACAAATATGAAGAAGTTAAACTTTAAACATTCATGACTTTAACACTTTATCCAGGATCAAAGCCACATAGCTGAACCTGCAAGGTGAATACAGCTGGTAAAAGAAAAAGTGTTTGAATGCGTACATTAACAGGTTTATGATATCACTGATATCACTAAGACACAAGTGGATCTGACTTTAATTACATTTGACTCGAGTGTTTCGTCAACTTAATGTGTTGCTTAAAATAATACTTCTGCATACAGTATGTGACACTGTGAGTGTTGCACGGCCAGATACGGCTCAGCTGACTCAGATAAGGAGATATATGATACATTATTAGGGATGCTCCGATCGATCGGCCGCCGATCGTTATCGGCCGATATTCACTCTTAATAGTTAGATCGGTGCTCTCTATAAGGGCCGATCAGGAGAGCCGATTAGATGACGCAGAATACATGAGACTGTGCTTGGCAAAACAAGCTCGCCAAAATGGCTCCACCGGTCTGGCAGTTTTTCAAGGTGTCCGAAAAAGACAATAAAATAGCGGTATGCAACGTGTGTGAAGCAGAAATCCTGCAGCTCCACCCGCTGTGACGGACCGGTGAGCGGAGCAACACACACACTAAGAGTTAGACACACTTGGCTAGTTTATCTACCTCTGGAACAAGCTAAACTAGTTATACATATATTAATTATACACTGTCGGGTCACTCATTATTGGATCAGTGAGCTGCATGAGATGCTGACAGGCTGTCAGGAGAGAGAGAGAGAGGGAGAGAGGAAAAGAGAGCGCTTCCGCTCATTTTTCCCGTGTTATTGTCATTATTATCCAAAGTTAATTTAAACTTGAATAATGTACGTCATTTGAATCTAATAATTATGTTGTTTGTGGAAGCGCATCATGTATTGAAAAATTAATCTGAACTTTTCGATCCGTTACGATTATAAACTGAAGCAATATAAAAATGAGCCCCATTAACTGAGTTTTAAACATCACTTTTTAAATGGAAGATCCCCATAGCCCCCACCCACCCTATGATTGGATCGGCGATCGGCCGATTCTGATTCCGGTGATCGGCGATCGGCCCCAAAAACCCTGATCGGAGCATCCCTATACATTATGATGTGATATGAATGATAATGGAACACATCGACGCCTGCACTCACAGTGCCGTGGACTGTACGTAATGTTACTTTGATCCGGTTACTTATGTTGTGGCAGATATTTAAGTAAGCTTTCTTAATGCTAATGTTATAATAGTCAGATTGCTCTGAAGATGGGAGGTGATATTCTATTCATTTTCACGTTCACACAGTCAGTTGATTTTTGACGGCCGTCTTTCCTGCAACGGCAGTTTTTCTGTATTTTCTTTCTCCTGTAATATGACTTGATCGCTTTAAACTCCGCACACTGAGCTCTGATTGGTCAGCAGGCAGTGCTTTCACTGAGTTGATCTCTTATCCTGGAACCAAACCTGCTCCGGAGCAGGTTTGCCGTTCAGCATAAGTTACCATGGAGATCTAGCCCGGTAAGAAGTGAACCAGCGTCGCAGGACCGGAAACCCAGAGTTGACCCTGAAGTTACCTCGTTAAGCGAAAATCCGGCTTCGTAGTACAGGCCTCAGTTCTGTGTGCTGCATCTGTTTTGTACTTCAGTGTGTCTGTAGTTTCTCTGTAGAACAGGTTCAACAGGCTGAGACAGCCACCATATTAACCCAACAATGTGGCATGCTGAGACTTTGAGTGAGTGAGTGAGTGAGTGTGTGTGTGTGTGTGTGTGTGTGTGTGTGTGGTCGACCGATTATTGGGGCCGATATTCCGCATTTGACCGATTATCGGTATCGGCCTTGTTTTTATCAAATTGCCGATAAAACTTTCGCTCTGATGCGGCCGTTTCTCTGGCTGCAGTCACCACTCTGTGAACACGAGCAATGTCCCGCCCACAGCGCTATCTGATAGGCTATTACTGAAGATTTTCCGGGCGGGAGCCAGCCAGAGAGGCGGGACCTTCTCAGATTACAGGCAGGTGTGAAAGAACGCAGACACAGACTGAAGCAAGCAGCAGCGCTGAGCGGCAGAGCCATACATGTGTTAATCCGAAGTTCAATAAACATCCCTAACCCCTATGCTGAAGTTACAAAAACACCACGATCTTATGATCCAATTCTATCAGTTTCCCAGTTACACAGCGTCTCGCAGCGGAGTAACTGTGGTGCGGAGTGGAGCCTCGCAGTTTTTCAGGTTGATATGTGAAGCTCATTAGCTACTAGCTAGCCAACATGTATCTAGCAAATGTTGATTAGAAGTGAGGCTACTAGACTAACGTTAGGTCTACTGTAAGAGCCTCACTTTTAATAGTTTGAAAAACATTAGCTAGCACTAGTGTTTTGCAGTTGCTAGCAGTTTATTGGGATTTTATGAGATGGACAGGCATTGTTTTGATATAATAAATTAAGTATTATTGTTAGTTAAGCATGTCAGCCTGCAGCCCCACTTCTTGTAATGTAACATGCTCAGACTGGAGCTGCTGGAAAAATCACAACATGATGACATCATGTTTTTTATTACTGGTCAGTTTTATTGTTTTTCAGCCAGACTGAAATGTGATTAAGGATGGTGCATGTTATGTACTGTGGCTTGCTGATGGCCCGGCCTCCCTCTGGGGCCGTTGCCTTGACACAGACTACTGTGAAGGAAGGATGAACTAAATGACACAAGCACAGCTGGTGGGACGAATATCTAAAGGGCTTTTGGAGGGAATAATGAAGTGTGTTCTTATTTAAGCAGCAGCCATCATGGGAAGGTCAGATCAGACACAGCTGCTTCTTTCTTAACCCTGGAGGTCCTGGGATCTCTGTTTGGGAACCACTGTGCCCTAGGCCTAGGGGGGTCAAGATCCAGCCAATCAGACAGGCTGCAGTTCTTTAGACAGTCAGATGAGTGCTATGTCATTTACGGATGCTA